CATGGTCATATTAAACTGTATCTCGAAATCCACAATTGGCAGAATCTAAAAAAGTTTATAAAACTCTTTTTAAGGATTGAGAGACATATTTTAATTTCATAAACATACAACTTCTGTAGCTTAAATAACACAACACAAAGATAAAATGAACATAGTCCTCTGCATGAAAAGTTTTCTCTAATGGGGGGACAAAGGAAGAGGAATAACAGAGGCAGCAAGACAAAAGTGTCAGCACAACACTAGTGATTGAAAATAATAATATAAAATCTGCTTTAGAATTATGGTCTCTTCCTCAACTGTCTTTCTTCAAACCTAAATCAAATCGAACAAAATGGACAGCACAAAAGAAACTTCTCCTCCAACTGCCACCTTTATGAATGTTATCAATGTGGCTGATAATGACCATGTATTTTTACCTTCTTAAAACAATGACCAAGATAGTTGATTGACAGTAATTATTAAGGCAGTTACAGCTTCCATGAAGATAGGAGTAAAAGTGAAGCAGTATCATCTACCCATTTTGTACCCAAAGTGTTACTTTCCCCCTACATTTGTAATAGGTTGGGCTGTTTTTAGAGAAGGAACATTGGAATGGGTTTACTTTGTGCTTAAAACATCATAGCAAGGACAACAGCCCAGATTCCAGGATTCAGGATGCTCAAGGGCTCCCCTAGAACTCTCCCTACTTGTCCTCAACTCATCACAGCACTATGGGATGGATAAAAACAGAGCTGAAAATGCAAATTAGGAGGAGGAAAATTAAATCATAAATGGGTCTTTATGTGTCCCTAGTTTTAAAAATAAATAAAGGTTTATCTCTCACTCATAAGTTTAATTTCATTGCTGACTATTTCTATAACACATGCTGTGCAGAGGGTGCCAGGAGCCCTTCCCTAGTGGGCTGGGCTTTCCAGCAATTACCTACCGAGGAGTCGCAGGAGCAGCCAAGGTTATCTCTGGGGGTTCTGGTGAAGGGACACTGTACCAGGGGGTGCACTTCTTTAGGATGCTTTGGAGTAAAAACAGGATTCTTCAGAAGATGGTTAAGACTTCCATGAGTTCCATTATTAGGAGCTGGGGTCAAATTCAGTAAATCTGCAAGATGCCAAGAATGGCAAAGAATTACTTAGAAGTTTCAAAACCAAAGAGTGGACTTCTACTATGATTTATAAAAAATCATATATGTATGTTAGATATGTATAAATGAATCCTTTACTCTGTAACTAAAACTATAAAATTCTCTTGAGTTTTGAACTATTTATGACTAGTGCTATTTTTAATAGAAATACTGTTACTTATGCTCTATTTTGCTATAAAGTTCTCTGAATTTTAAGCTGTTTAATAACTATAGTCATCCTCTGTTGAATGCATATTATATGCCAATAGCTGTGCTAATATATTTTTCTACTTGATCTTCAAAATGAACAAATAAAATTACTATCCACATTTGGTAGATAAATAATCAAAGTGTTTTGCCCAAGTCCCAAAGGCTATTAATTTAGTAGATCAAGGATTCAAAATCCAGCTATTCCCGAGTCTAAGACTCATGATTTTAATAATAAAAATAGTGAACACATATAAAGCACTTACTACATGCCAGGACCTGCCTTAAGTGTTTAGGATATATTATCTCATTAAATTTTACAGGCACCCAACTGAAAGAATTATCCTCAAGACAGTTTAAGGTTTTGTAAATGCAATAATATTTAACTTGAAATAATATTTAAAATCCAACATTCCACCATAAAAGCACTAATTCAGAAGCCACAGACTGAACAAAGGATATACTTAATGAATTGTTCTTTATGGCTACACCCTCCACATTGCCATCCACTCAACTATTACTGTTACCACAGGTTCCACTTCCCAACGCTCTCCTCCCTGGCTTCCACCACTACACTGACACAAAATCATGTACTGAAACCCAGGACCTAGCAACATGCAACCCAAAGTGCAGCCTGGTGGAAAAAATAAGACAAGTAGTAAGATGTATGCTCTGCACATTTGATCAGCATTTCTGGGTCAGGAAGAAGAAACAGAATGGACGTGTCTGCCTGGCCTCATCCTCTTCCCCTCACAGGGGCTCGCCATGTGACCTACTTTTGATAATCCTACTCCAGCTCTGTTTCCAGAAGGAAAGAAGCTGCCTGTTCACACTTACCACACATTAAGTTATAGACTTCGATATTTTCAAAAGTGTCAACCTCAATGCCATGCT